ACTAAGTAGAAAAGATTGTTGCGGCATTAGTCAATGGTCATAAATGTAGAGTAACAGGTAATTCACTAGTAAAAAGCAGGATTGGAAACTAAAAATACTTCAAGCGTCAAAATCAGAACTGAGAATGGCAGGAAAAAAGCTGAGTGAAAACTTGCCACGTCCCCGTTGGCAGGTACTAACATCTAAATCTGTGATAGCTCATTACCTAAAAAAATGTTGTTGCTGTCGCTGCATTTGTTAGCAATACGAACAAATTAGACGACAATAGATTTCAGTTTCAACTTTGGAAATGTACAAAAAATAGTAAGACACATAATTTCTTTTATCCCACAGCAAGTTTAGTTAAGCCAGGAAAATTAAGGACTTTTGCATGGTGAACATGCTGTTATTTCCTCATCTAAGAATGACAGCTGATGTGAACATAGTTTACAATCCTTGACTCATCAACCTAGTAAGTTAAGTATGGAACAATTGTGAAGATACCCGAGAGAATGTCTCCATATGTCTCCATTGCATTCAACTCTCGAAGATCAGAAACTCCCACAACAACAGTAATAACGTAAGCTTTACATATTCAATATCATGAATAGTTGCCGTCACAGAAATATCAGCTAATAACGACAAATAATTGATGTGACTCGAGTCATCCCTGTAGGTCTGCTGCACCCACGATCGTCCATTGATGCGCCATGTAGAGGAGGTGTGAGTGGCAGTATGAATGGAACTCGAATCGATCTGTGGTCCTTAGCTGGCCGCAAATAATCATGCGCAGGCAAGCATTACTGCCCATTCCAATCGATCGATTTGATAAAGAAACGCCAGTTGACGCGGCGTTTCATCATCAGACAGGATGGATGTATGGCTAGCCAACGCCTCGCGTGCACGCGAACGCTCGAAATGATCGGGACGACCTAACCGTGTTTAGGCCACGGCGAGACCAGACAGCCGCTGTGCCACTATTAATTGCCAGCAGCGAGGGTGGAAAAAGAGCGGTAAATAAAGGATAGAGACAGCAAAATAAATTTTAATCTGGGAAAAATCAAATATTACTGGAAAATTTGATTGAAAAATTATATCTCATTTATAATAGTTTTTCATACATCACAGCTTTTTTTCTAAATAAACCGCATAAAATTCGGAAATTTCGATCGTTAGTTAAAGCCGTAATTAATATCATAGAAATGTACCAAGAACAATCGTAGCATTATAGATAAAACGATCGTTATAGGACGCTCATGTGCATGTGCAAAATGATCAGCAATTATCTATAAGCACCACGCATGATGACCGTACAAGCAATCATGCACCACGCATGATGACCGTACAAGCAATCATGACACGCATGATGATCGTACAAGCAATCATGCACCACGCATGATGATCGTACAAGTAATCATGCACCACGCATGATGATCGTACAAGCAATCATGCACCACGCATGATGATCGTACAAGTAATCATGCACAACACATGAAGTTCGAGCAAACAATTGTGCACCACGCATGATGATCGTACAAGCACGGCCACGCACCAACCGATTTCAGCCCGAGCAGTGCGGTAAAGCGCGAATTTAGCGTAGACAAATATTCTATGTTATAAACAATCATAACGACAGGATGACCGCAGCACACCCTTAGAAATAATAAATATATTCACTAAATCAGTGCTTTTACAATGGTTCAGTAATAATTAATATGACAAATGACACGTATTGGTAAGTAAGCAAAGTGAGCCAATTAAATACTTTTTATTAAAATGTGCAGTAATCCTACTAAATTGCATGTATTATTTCAATGCGAAAAAGCAATATCCATACTTGAAGCGAGTTCATAGTTAGGGTTGCGAGTAAAGTTCATCACGAAAAATGGTCATTCAAGTACGGATAATGAGCAATATTCATGAAGGTTCTGAGCTAAGGATGTCTGGGAAGCAGCATAACATAAAACCGAGGATATTATAATAGACACAATTGTAGGGTGAGGTGGTGCGGATAAAGCATGTTAAAATTTTAATAGAGACGCGTTCCTAGAAAAACTGCGACATATTATCAATATTTTCTGGTATCAAGCCACGAACATCATGAAACAAGCAGCATATTGAGGTACTTTGAGTCACGTTCATGGTAAGGGTGGTCACTGCGGGCACATCAATTCAAATCTCCTTCAATGGAGGTCCGAGAAAAAGTCTTAGGAGACACATTGCCACAACAGAAGGCATTGAGGGTCAGATTCACGTTTTTGAAGGTCCAGAGTGAGCTCAATTAAAATTTATGCGTCTCTTATTGTAATAAAAAACCAATTTCGTGCTCACTCGATGTTATGTCATACAAGACCTAATGAATCCAATGCGCAATATTAAGTCCAAAGAAAAGAGCACAATGTTAAGAGAGTTTTGCAAATAATTCATCGGCATTTCGAAAGAAAACTAAAAATTGAATAGAAATGCATTAAAAATTGTAGATCGCCCATCATAATTCACAAGAGAATAAGAAATCCCAGTTGAATGGTAATAAAAATTTTCGAAATAAAGACACAAGCATGTTGGCCAAAAAAGTACAATGTCGGCTGTAGATTACCGCGAGGAGTCATTTATAGTCTAAAAGAACACGCGTCTAATTTTTCCCAAAGGTTGGAGCCACGATGCAACAATTCCTCCGTGAAGCGTCATGCGAGGACCTGCGTGGCGCTAATAAACGCTTCTCAGTCTCCCTGAAGCCAGCAAATGACGTCGACGTCCCGATAAACAGAGCCTGTTGGTCGCGCGGCTCACTGCGCTGTTATATAGCAGGTATGTCACTCCTATAGGCCTAAACGTCCTGCCTGGGCCTTCACTTCCCTCTTCACTCGTCGAGCTCTGACGAGGACACTCACTGGCCCTCTCACTTGGTTAGGTTTGCGTGTCACTCGCTGTGTTTCCCGTGCCTGTTTTCTTCCCATAGCTCGTTCAGTGTCATGCTCTAGTAGTAACTTCGGCATTTTTCAGTCTCTCAATTCATCTTCAGTGTCCTATACAAAATCGTTTCGCAAATCATTCATAACTTTAAATGTATTTTAGAACGACGCTATTACACCTACGTCGCTGTTACACATTTTGTAAGGTCTAACATCGACAGACGAACTTTTCATCAAAAAATACTATCATACATTGGTTCAGCAATCGCGAAATCAAATGAGCAAGTTATAATCAAACAATCGTTGATCGTTGATATTATAACTTTTTCAAATGATAAAGTTATAAAATCAACGAAAACTACCAACTGATAAAATTGTTACACGTAAACAAAATGCCATCGCTCGAACCTGGCGCTGCAACTATGCAGAAAATTCGGCAGGTCAAAATAAAAGGAATAATGGAGGCCGTAAAGAAATTGGCCGTCACCGACAGATGGCAGAGCGGCCACGTGCGCAGCGGAGCGTCGAGTCGTTCATGTTGTGGACGAGAACAGCGCCAGCCATCACGCAGCCCTTGCACGGAGCATCACGCACTCACGCATTGCTCGGAGCATCACGCACTCACGCATTGCTCGGAGCATCACGCACTCACGCATTGCTCGGAGCATCACGCACTCACGCATTGCTCGGAGCATCACGCACTCACGCATTGTTCGTCCCCATGCCTCACGCACTAGTCAGGTTAGCCTCTAAGGCCGTCGCTTGTACTGTATGAAAACATCGCTTGTTAAAATTTATTGTCTATTTAATTTGTTAACGTTTATACGCTTATCGTTTGTCTCGTGTTAAGAGGCAAAGTCGACTCCAAAGTCGACAACCTTAACTCCTTTCAGTACGAGCGAACACTCCTATTACTGTTTTCACTATTTTCTTCCTAATAGTTCTCTTCATGAGGCCAACTGTAGCGATACAGTAGAACTGGAGGGTTTAATAGGAATAGATATATTGCAGTTCTTGAAAGATTTCAGTGTAGTTCCGTGCTTGCGTGGCAGTGCTTTTTCATTAGCAGGTAAACTTATTCCCTTTGGTGATGTAGAGAATTTCTTAACTTCAGGTCAGATTACTTCTCTTAGCAAGGTTTCAAGTGCAGTGTCAGATCATTCTGTATCCTCATCATTGGTCAATTTTGTTCTGGATCCCGTCTGCACATGCAGAGATCCTATAGTGCACGAGTTCCTCAACGCACTTCGTGCTTTTCATTACCTCCTGGCTTCGTACTGCGAACCTATTCTCTTTTCGGAACTACAACAATAAAAGTTTCAACGCTTTCTTTGTTCTTTAATTTCCAATTGTACCGAAATTCAATACGCTCAACCGAAAACCTTAACCAAAAAGCTATACCGACTTGCAGAAACAGTATAAAAGGAGTCTTTCAACAGCCTAGTGCCTTATTATGAAGCTAATAATTTGTAAAGGATACCAATCAGCCTTAGAGTTTTAGTCCACGAAATCGGTGACTCGTAAGGTAGCAGTCAGAAAAAACATTTCTAAGCCCTTTTCAAATACACGTACATAAAAAGTACAGCTGAACTTAGTCATTGTCCACATAGAGTCAAGATAACTATCTCTCGCAGCTTGGCGGTCATGAACTCGAAACTAGAATTAGAAAAATAACTTATTTCAGAGAAAGTCTAAGAATTATGATCGTTTTTTTTGCGCGACATTCAAGTTAAATTGCATGCATACTATGGTCTACCGAGGCCAGCAACAGCATGAGTAAATTTGTGAATTATTAAATTTAAATTATTCAAGTAAATTTTATACCAAAGTTGGAGCATATAATCGTGATAAGAGAAAAATCAAAGTGTTTTGGGGGAAATTCATGTCTTCATTTAGAACTTTCATTGCCGTCCAGCATACCTAGTAGCCTAACTAATCAAACTACAACAAATTAACGTTGGCAGATCACATTGAAAGAATCAAACAAGAAGATATTTATGAACAAAAAATATTTTGGACTTGACCGTGAAAGGAAAGTGTTCAATTCCGAATTGTTAAGAAATTTTCGTCTACACACACAAAGCATAAAGATTTGTTGATGTGGCTCACCTCAGTGCAGTAGATGGCGAAGTCGAGACAGCTTTTATCGAGTGCACGGACGGCTGAAAATATAAATCTTTTTATGACTTATCAAAACAGGTCAATTAATAAATACATTTGTCGAGTCATCAAAGACGGGATTTCGTTACATTAATTTGTAAACCTGAATATTGAACGAAGTAATAACAGGTTCTTTCCAAACTATATCAGTATACTATAGTATATGTCAAATAATAGGATCAAGAAATTTTAGAACTTAGAACATTTAAGAACTAATGATTTTTTTAATTATGCCAGCTTAAGATAATTGATAATGTAATTTTACTACGGTTGGATGCCATACGATTTTCTTTATGATCTTAAAGTAAGATTTATTCGTCTTAGTAGTATCACACACTCGAGGTAACACGACACACCAGCACACACCACAGCCATGAGTACACTGCCGAACCGCGAGTGAGGGAAGCAATGCTGCAGAGCTACGAGCGTACGACAACCTGAGCCCCTGCAACTAGCAGACGACGATCACTACTTTACGACAGACGAATTAAGTATTTCAGCTCACGCATGGTATGAAATTTAAATAAAGATTCGGAAGTAAATATTGAACTGGACAACAATTAGAACGAGAACATATAAATAAAACCTATGCAGTGGAGCACCAGTATTATACAAGAAATTTCGCATAAAATTATACTCCGAATATAAGCCTTATACATAATACATGAATGCAACCCGAATATTAGCCATACCTTAGTACAAAACTAGGACTGATGCAGTGATGCACGTTTGGAAACGGGAAATTTTGCTAAAAACTTTCTCTTACGATAGAGAAGAGATAAAAACAGACGAAAAAAAATACGTAGAAAATTCTACATTATAGGAAAATGTCAACAAAAAGAACTTAAGAGAAGCTAAGAAACCGTTCCAAATTATTAGAAATGTATATAGTCAGTTGTTGAAAACAAAAAGAAGCGAATTAACGAACAATAATAATTAAGGAATTGCTGAAAAAAGCCGAAAACAAAGGACATTTTGACGATACACTCAAAACAAACCCTAAAGCTGATTAAATAATTCGCATCAGAATCAAATAACACAAACCTAATCTGTAAGGCATTGATCATATGTGAGCATAAATTGGGGTGCTTCAGAGTGACATGACGAGTGAAGCTCCCAGTCGAGTCGAGCGAGGAATGGAGGAGGCGCCAAGATAAACTGGATGGATGGTGGAAAGAGCGAGAGCAAGCAAGGGAATTCAGAAGGAAGTGGAGCGAAAATGAGCGAGCTAGTGAGGGGATGAGGGAGTTCAATGGCCATGGATCACACAATAGAGCGAGCGAGAGAGACAGATCGAGTGAGAGGAATTGAAGGTAAAAGAGAAAATGAAGCAAGAAAAGGAAGTGAACAGAGCACGGATAGTGAGGGAGCAGATAGAGCGAAGAGGCAAGATAGAGCATGGGAAAGAGAATGAAGTGAAAGATGGAGCAAGAGGAGCAATATTTTAATGCACGTGACTAATTAAGAAGAAAAGAAGTGCAGTGAGAAGAAAAAATAAGGGAATTATGATGAGTAACGAAACGTGAAGGTGTGAGCGAAGAGAAGTGCGAAGAGAGCGTAAATGTGAGTGCGGAAAATAGTGTGAAAAAAATGAAGTGAGGGAGAGCGGTAGTATGCAGGGGAGGTAGGGCGGGAGGGACGGAGTGTGGAGGATGAAATCAGTAAAGGATAAAATACACGTAAAAAAAAGATAGCAACGAGTAGTGAAAGGAAGAGAGGGAATATAGAGAAGAGGGCTCAATAGGAAAAAGATTGATGAGAGGATAATGTGAGAAAAGAAGACAGAGAGACAGAAATGGCAAGCAGAGAAACAAAAACTGTTACGCAAAGACGAGAAATAGCGTCTCGAGGGTGACAGGTAACGTGGATGAAAGAGTGCGGGTGGGTGAAAGAAAATAACAAAGTACGAGATGAGCAATGTGCGAGAGAAAAATATTCATGCGAGAGTCAAGGGAGTTGAAATAAAGCACAAGAGAGTAAGAAAGAGAGAGATAAAGTGACCGAGGGACAGAGAGATATTTGAGCAAGGGATGTATAGAGAGGAGAGAGTGAGGGGAGGATAGAAAGAGTAAGGGAATGAAGGGCCCCCCCAAGATTGGCAGTCGCAGGGATGATGGATCTACAAGCCCTGAACAACGGAGATAAAATAGCGGACAGCTCCTCGATAAATGATGAGAATGACGCGAGCGGCGGAACGGTCGCCGCCACAGCGATACAAATTCCATCAATGAAATTACCGCCGCTGCGATCCATGCGACGCGCTGGCAAAGCTGCACTCTCGTGAACAAACAAACTTAAGTGCAATGAAACAAGGAGTTAAAGCGTGATAATATGAAGAAGCTAAAGTGTGGCAATACAAAGGAGCTAAAGTGTGGTGATACAAAAGAGCTAAAGTGTGATAATATATAGGAGCTTAAGTGTGGTAATACACTATGATGATGCACAAATGATGGTTGAATTCATCATGAAGAAAATCTTATGCTTAGCAGAACTGGTTCAATTACACATTTGATGCGAAATAATTAAGTTACAATGGCCACATCATAATTATAATGCATCATTTCTATAACATAATACAATATCAACAAAACTTTAATTGGAAAATTGGCAATAGTTAGCCAAAGAAAAACAAGAAATTCATTAAATGCGAAATGAGATTATGATAACTGTTTTTGAAAAAAAAACACGGGGAGTAGCCAATTATTGCAGCAGACCTCCTTAGGGAAATCACACAGCGGTGAGAAGAGCGATTGTAGCTATGGTAGAAACACGGCCGGCAAAGCTCGTCTGATCCTCCCTGATACGGCGGTGCGCGGCGCTGCTCAATACACAAATTGCCAGACTGCGCTCGCTTGCAGCCAACGGATCACGCGTGTCTGGCCGTAGGGTACGCACACAGTGAAAACAGGTTTGCCCGCGCGGGCAACCTGCCATAACCTGCCACAAGAATGAACATAGGATAATAATGTGAGTATTCACAGTGAAAACCTGTACGAACAGGCTTCTGTATTCTATGGTTTCAGGCGCCAGCCTGAGCAGGTAACCAGCACGCTGGCAACCTGCTTTCACTGTGAGCGTACCCGTAGACATGCAACTGCGATGACGTCATCTGAAACTACTAGCTGCGATGCTGGTGCGCATGTGGCCCACATTGTTCGTACGAATCGTAACGATGAACTTGGCTAATAATGCATGGTTTTCCGGTTTTTAGTAGTCGATCAATCTAAAAGTAACAATCCATGTGAATAAGAAGCTAGCGCATCATGCGATACGTGAAATGGCAAAGGTAAGCCTTTTTCATTGAAGAACTTTGTTAATTGCAGCAAGGGACAAACTAAAACTATATTGATACGTGAAGTATGATTGCAAAACCATTTTTTCAGCATTGAACTCCAGAGGTGTCACAAAGTATACATTTAGGAGCATGGCCCAATAATGGCGGTGACGATCCAATAAAAGAAGATAACCTCTAAACTTCCGAAGCGTGACGTTTCGATAAAAAAAGAGTAAGGTTTTGCACGAAAGAGAAGCTTTCAAAATTCTCCTGGGCCCATACTTTCAAAAAAAGTTAAGAGATCGTAAGTTCATCAGCCAATCATTGACAGCCGTTCAAGCAAAATCCACCAATCATAGACAAGAAAATAGGGCGTAAGTACTTACGTTCACTTAGCGAATTTGGAAATTATGGCCCCAGATCTGTAAATGGATCATGGAGTTCGATCGTCTCATGTACTTTCTGCGCATTTTTATTGAGATAAAAGTAAATCACCATATATTTATGAGTATTTAATTATAATAATGTTGGATTTCATTATCTACTATTCTAACAACGTTAAAAGCATTAACGTTGCCACCTAAAAAATTTATCTATGCCATGGAAGCTCAAAGTACAGAGTGAATTTTTTCTCATTCAACATGTACGCTGATCGAAAATCAATGCATATATCACAGTTATAATCTACTCATAATTGGAAACATGATACAAATAACCGGTTGATATTCAAGTGACAAATACAAATACATGAAACTGGAAAGAAGAGGGAACAAATTTTTATTTGTCAATGGTGTATAAAAATTTGAACCAACACCAGGTAAGCCGACGATGTGGCCCATCACGGAAGTCCATCATTCTGATTAAACCGTAAAAATTTACCGAGAGCACACATTTTAATTTATTTTTATCAACCTTTTCTACTAACATTCCCTTGATTAAGTACAAACGCAACTAAAACTCTCTCACTCTAAAACTCATTTTATGTAACGAGTAAAATTTTTCATTGGAACCCATTAGATTCAATGGCAGGGACGAGAGACATCACGTGCTGAGCTCAGATATTTCAGGGCGGCACTGAAATTCACTTGCGCCAACTTGTGAGCTGACTCCGGACGCGGCCTGAATTTAATACTTTTGCAAGCATAAACGAAAGCTTTTTACGAGCCAAGTCCACGAGAAGAATGGCCGCTCCACCCTAGGCAGCGAGGGTGGTAAACTCAACTATTTATTGAACGTCCTAAATTCGACGGAAAACTTTATTAATAGTCAAAAACGTATTTTGAAAACAAACGTAGTCGTACAAAAACTGAGTTGAATTTTGAATGAAGGGTTCACACTTAGTGTAGGAATTAATTTTGTGTAATTTATTTGATGGTAAAAGGCACTTATAAATGAGGGGAAAATATGGAAGAAAAAGTAGTTTCGACCAACATTTTTGAGATTGATTCCTCAACCAAATTGTATTTTTCTTACTGAATATAGATACATATCTCAGATAAATACGTTTAATTAATTTAATCTGAAAAAATTCCCCAGTCATGATCATAAAAAATTTCAGAGCTTTTAGATACTGCCTTTCTACAGCTCTTGCTCGAAAAGAACAACGATAGCATAAAGCATGAAAAACAGTGCTTGGAGATCAGAAAAAAGCCCGGCCTAAGCTCGGAACGTAATGGTGTACGAGCGATGAGAATAGTGGCGGCAGCGCCATGTATCTCAAGTAAGGTT